TTGAGATTAATTTGCAGCCCAGAGAGCAGGGGAGGCTTTACAGATCAATCTTTCTTTTCAGAAAATAATAAAAAAAATAGAAGATTCTAAATGAACTTTTTTATTCTATTTATACAACATCACAAAAAAAGTAATAAGCTCAAAGTTTATTGGGCAAATCAAACATGCACTTATGACTTGGATGTTTAAGTTTAAAGTTTTTTGTTAACTATGAGAGTTAACAAGTCCCAGGTATAACTCTGTTGAAGCATTTGGTTCTCTCAGAAGTGGTGAACTTGACACAGACTGTTACAACCAGAAACCACAGAAGTACATGCCCATGATAAAACATTCATTTTCACACCACATATTGCATCATGGAATGGTTTGGGTTGGAAGGGGCCCTAAAGATCCTCTAGTTCCAAACCCCTGCCATGGGCAGGGACACCATTCCCCAGACCAGGTTGCTCCAAGCCCCACCCAACCTGGTCTTGAACACTACAAGGGATGGGGCATCCACACCTTCTCTGGGCAACATCTTCCAGTGTCTCACCATCCTCACAGTAAAGAATTTCTTCCTAATATCTAATCTAAATCTACTCTCAGTTTGAAGCCATTCCCCCTTGTCCTGTCACTACATGCCCTTGGATAAAAGGAGCTCTCCAGCTCTCATCAGTCCTTCTCCAGTTTTTGGACTGACAGCCCTTCAGAGCTGCAATGAAATCATGTTGGCCAGACAATACTTTCAAGGTACCATTTTTACTATGCCAGTGTTATTTCACACTTTTTCCTACAGAGATTTTAAAGCACATATTCTCAAGAATAACCTCTCTTAGAGATGCCACGAGGGAATGTAAGAGAAACTTAAAAGGGTTTCAACCAGGGTAACTTGATAAAATATCAATCCCAAAGATTGGCAGCTTAGATATACTATTCCATCTCTAATTCATCAGAAGCTTTCTTCTGAAAAGTGAGAAAAAGAGGATTTTTTTCCCTTTATGCATCTCCAGCACTTCATGGCTGGGCAGTTACAAACCTGTACCCCCACTAATACTGCAACCAAGATAGGTTAGTAGGAAAAGTACAAGTAAGGGGTGGAAATAACTATAAACCCCCACCTTTGAACACTTCGCATCCACAAAATACCTTCTCTTGCAAATCAGACCTTGTGGAAGGAGAAGGGAAAGGGGCAGACATTAGGAGTACAGCAACCTTCCAAGGGTCTTGTCACTGAATTTGAATGCTGGTGACTTCGAAAGCAAGATCATGGGATTCAAGGACTAGATGCTGTAGCACAACAGTATAAAGTATTTCTAAGTAGCAAAGAGTATTTCTAAGGAGCAAAGTCATTCATCAACAGAATGCACTTTCCATAGAGGGCAGCTGATCACTGTTTAGGGATTACAAATGAAGACTTCACTCCTTTTTTTTTTTAAATCATTCAAGTATTAAGACCTTAGCATGAGGACGATGTGGCAAAGTTCAACAGCTTTGTTGTTATACAGGAGGTTGAACTAGGCAAGCAAAATACCTCTAAGCTGTTAGATATGGGAAGGATTTATTGTCCTTTTAGGAATCACAGTTGGATTGATATGACATAGATGTATCAAGCTTTCCTGACATTCCTTGGAAGATCTATCCTTTTCAAAGACATAAAATGCAACCCCCTAGGTTTCTATATTACAGGAAGACAGGCTGCTGCTTCTTCTACAAACACAACTTTAGAGTCTCCCGCAGGACAGAAATTTCAGTTGAGTCAGTTTTGAGATGGAGATTGTTTAGGAGAACTGTCAAAAAAAAACAAAACCAAAAAACGTAACTGAAAAAAACACAGTCTCCCACAGCACACAAATCTCACCACCACCCTTGCAAACAAAAAAAAAAGACCCACAACTTCCTGTCAACCAGGAGAAAGGATAATATACCCTGAACAGCCTTGATACTCTGTCAAGGAATACTGGGTTATGGTAATAATACTGGTTTGAAATATCCAAATCACAGCAAGTGTTTGGACACATATTAAGCACAAACTTAAAAGGACCAGCTTTCTGAAAGAAAAAAAAATTGCCTCTAACTATTTTTAACACACATTCATAAATCATTGGCATTTTACTTCCAGTGTACAATCAGCACTCAGAGCATATTTATTTCAGAGGCATCTTGCTTCTTGTTGTCTTTGCTGACAGAATGGCATCAGGCATTCTTTGCTCTGTAGCATGGACTAATGATAGTTTGTTGGCACATCTAGGTTGGCTCTTGAAGTAAATAAATAAGAAGTAGTAAAAATATCATCCCCACCTTAACAACTCCCGTTGTGCCAACCAGTTCTCAGGGTGCATGCAACTGCTGAGTGAAGCTCCTGCACAGCAGTGGTGACACAGAAACTCCCCTCAGAAGTACATGTTGTGTGTACAACAAAGGAAGTGAGGACAAGACAATAACTTTAAAAAAAAAAAACAACCAAACAAACAGAAGAAAACAAACAACCCAGAGCAATTTCAGCATCACCTGGAGAATCAGCATCATTAAAAATGCCATATTAACCATAAGGACAATTCATTTAATGCAATGAAAACTTTATTGAAGGGAAAAAAACAGCACTTGAAAAGATTTCACTTCATTACAGAGAAAGTTGTACATTAGGGAAAAAAGTATTTATCAAAGTAGAAATAAAACAGTGTAAATACATAGAAAAAGCACAACAGGAAACAGAATCAGTAACAGTATAAAATATTGTGGAGAATTTCTGAATTTGATTTTTACTTTACAAAACAATTCCACAGCTGTTAGAAAAATTTAGTGGTCACATTAGAGCGAGGCACATGGTTTTAAGAAAATACACCATTTCTGGCCAACATTTGCTGTGGTTGTAAACATCAGTATTAAGACAAACGTGTTTAAACATCCTCCTCGGTTTTGAGAGTCTACAATAGCACAGTGATCTTACTTTCATGAACATGATTAAGTACCAAAATTAAGTAAGAGCCGTTCTCAGAAATTCGGAGGTTCTTTCAATCTCTGAGCACACAGCAAGAGAGGACGAGCTTCAAGCACCCACACTGCTCCACAGTTCTCAGAACACGTATTTCTGACCACTCATAAGGGACAGTGCCATGAGCCTCCAAAGGCACTGCACACCAGCTGCATCCACCCACAAGTTATGACAGATTCAAGCCCATCATCCTGTTCCTAGCTGGAAGCCATCCTGTAGTAGTCTCCAGCCTCCCCCCAATTTGTATATTCATCTACAGAGTCTAAAACACTTTCTTTTTTAAAATGTGATTTCTGAAAAGACTTTCAACTTGGTGGAGAAAATATTTCTTCGTTTTTTGTAACAGCTCATGAACAATCTCATTACTGTAAATACTAAATGAGATGAAATTGTTCACATCATCAGTGTAGAATCATCTCAGATAGTACCAGCATTCACAGTAGACTTCATCACATAAAACAGAGCAAAACTTCGAAGTAGTGAAAAAAAATCCCACATTTCGATGTATAGAGTCTCAGATGACTACCACCCTTCCCACTTCCACTTCTACTACAGCTGGAAAGTCAGCTAATCCCAGATAAACATATTTCTTGCTAGAACTGTATGCTAAGGCTGCTTGGTTCAGGTTATGATATCTGTACTGCAAATAAAAATGTGGACAAGTTGATCAACAGTGAGGCTAGGCAAAAAGCACTTTCTGGTAGAACACCAAATCCTACTGGGATAGGCACCCAATGTCATACAAGTTTCTTTAGAGAAGTCAGCCTTGAGTTAAGTGCTGTAGGCAACTGAGCAAGAACTTTGGGAAGGAAGGAGCTTTGTGATTTAAACCACAAACATCTCTATTTGCAATAGACTGCTGATAACAAACATTCCTGCACTGAACGACATTAAGATAGAAAGCTTCAGAAATGCCCACCACGCTTCCTGCCAAGCGGATAACCAAAGCTGATGATATTAAAACTTAACACAAAGTAGTTTTAATGACCAAAAAAAAAAAAAGGTTTAATGGTATTATCTAAGTCAGATTGAAAACTACTCAAGAGGGAACATTCATATACTAGTTTACTCCCTGGTTATGTAAAAATCATATAAAATAAAGTACTTTAATAAAGCGGAAATTTCTTTTGCTGTTAAACTTGGCAACAGCCTGAACACAACCACTTACAAGGGAATAAGAATCTAAAGAGTTTTGTTCTGATAGAGCTATTTTAAATCAAAACTGCTTGTAGATGAAGCAACAAACCCTGAGTATGTTTCACATATTGGCAAGAATACAGCAAATCTGTGCTACCATCTGACCTTCACAGGAACAGAGCACAACACCAAAGGGCAACAAAAACCCTAGTGGCTCTATGGTCATCCTTGTGTCTTTGCCATCTTTCCTTGGCCTCACTTCCTTTAAGGGCACAACTGCTTAGTCTCATGTGCTATGTCAAATAAAGATTTGTTCTTCTCTCTTATTCAATAAAGGCTGTGGAACTGGAATTACAGTTTTAAAAATGATAGGACGGGGGAGAGAAAGAAAGAAAAAATTAATTTAAGTTTACCTGCTATCTATTGGTAGTTCCATAAATTTCCTACTTCTAAATAGCTGTATTCACAACAGCCAGTTCAAAGGTTCCACTTAGCCAATATGCAAGTTGAAAAAATAACATTCAGCATACCCAATTCTACTGTTCTTCTAGAGGAATTGCTAGAGAGTCAGGCTACCACAATCCTACCCAAGCTAGCCGAGGAATAAGAGAAAGGCTTTTACTCCTTCTGATGTGAAAAAATCAAAAAAAAAGAACCCCAGAAGTCAAGTTCCATTATCTTGGCTGCTGATGAACCTGGACTGATGACCCCAATTAATATAACTTTCCTGGAAAGGGGAAGCAGAAATAAGAAGAAAGAAAGAAAAAAAAGACGAAGAGAAAAAAAACGGTGATGAGGAGCTGGTTCATGGATACACCTCCACAAAAAGGGTGTAAAAGATTGGAAGGTTTAAAAGGCAGGGGGGGGGGCTTTCAAGGGTCCCCTGACAACGGCAGGAATTCTGTAAACATTATCAAAGTTCTAAGAAAAGACTAACACATGTGCTTTGACAGATGTAAATAGGTTTTGAACTTACTCTGTGACAAAACACATCAGTTTAGATACTTGTCTGAGATTAGTCAGGGAAAAGAAGTATCAGTTTTCTTTAATTCCCAGTCTCCCTTGTGCAATTAACCAGTTCTACTTTTCAAGAAGAGTAATAGTCAACCTAGTTATTTCAACACTAACTTCCAAGTCCTGGAGGAGAAGAAAAGCACTAGGATATAGCACTTGAACCTGTATAACTAATTTATCCCAACATCAGTGCCATGTTTTCAAGGTGGCATTTTCCATTCAAATCTCTTTGTAACAGTAATTCTGGCCAGCTGGAATTCACAGAAAGGTTGCTAAAATTTCCCTTTCATACTATCTGCAAAAGGGAATCCTTTATTTTTTTTAGAGAATCCTAACAGCTGGATGATACTGTGCTTTATAGATTATTAGAAGGACAATTAAATTTAAGATTTTGGATTAACTCAGATTTTAGTGACTTTCTGAAAGCCACAGAATATCTGCCTTCACTGTGGGGTTATTATTCATTGCCAAGTAGATCTAGGTTTTTCCTACACTAAAATCTTTGTGGTACAAGTCAGGAACATACTTGCCATGCAAACATGATGCTTTCAAATGGCTAAACTCTGGGCAGATGGAGCAAGAGAGGCTTCAGTTCCTATCGGAGTCCACTGGATAATCATAATCTTACACACTGACTTCAGGAAGACAGTTTGGTCAGAGGAAAGGTGAAAGCAGTTAAACAGTACCTCACAGAGGAGAAGCAGGAATTTGTGCTCAGATATTAAACAACTGACCACTGCAATGGTTTGGGAGTAAATGATTATATGTAGCTCAGAAGATAAAGAGAGTGGCCTTGGAATTTGGATACTGACTGCTCAGCATTTGTTAGGAACTAGCAGCTAGATTGTTGCACACTTTCTTTGCTAAGACAGGCAGTAGAAAATCATACTTTCTCCTCAAAGCAGAGGAAGTTCACTAGTGTGTGCCAGAGTTTTAGAAGAAACTGATCCCACTTACAAAAAAAGAAATGTTGGAGTTTTAATCTATTTACATTTCAGAAAAAAATGCATTCTCCCTTGCCCAAGTTGCTTAACCAACAGCCCACATCCACCTTATCACAGTTTGTCCTTTGAGGAAGGACATAAATAAAATCTCTCTTTGTTTGCCTACCATGCCCTCAGCTTTGCACTGCTTCTATGCTACAGCTGAGGGGGAAGAGAAGCACCTTCAGCTTTGTGTGAAAAATTTCAGCTTCCTAATTTGTACATACTGTACATACTGTACTGTACAGACTGCTTACATTTAGCTGTAAGCAAGGCAAAGAACTCAGGTTCCTGGCAGCTGAAAAAATCAATTAACCTTATTTTACAAGGGCGTTTCCTACAGGAACAAGTTTTTACAGATGAAAATATCCCTTTCACATATTTTAAGGAAACACCATCAATATAGACTGAAAATTAAATACTTCATTAAAGATGCAAACATTTCATGGTTAGTCCCAAACAGTCTCTGACTTTATAATTAAATCTTTTAGAAGTCTCATAAACCTAACATTTTGCCAGGGAGACAGGAAAAGAAAGAATACCAATATTCCATTATCCAAGGCAAACAGCGCAAAGATTAAGCAACGTAAGGCTATTTAAAAAAAAACCCAAGTTGTCAGTAAGAAATCAATTTGCAAATGATTTCTTTTTCTTGAAAAATAAATCATCTAGACTGCCATAGTCCCAACAGAGCCAAGGTCTTCATTTTACAGACTTCATGTATTACTTCGAAATATTTGCAAAACCAAATACATGAATTTACTTAAGAATTATCATAGCAAATTTTGGATTTCTGCCCAGTTCTTCTGCCAGACTGAATTTCAATTGATCACAAGCACCCTGTGATCAAGACACCATTGCTTACAAACTCAAGCAACTGCATACACTGGATGTAGCACAAGGAGCTTCTAACAACAAGCTGAAAGGCATGTGCTTAAGAAGTAGGAAACTACACAACATGGTGATCTTAACATAGTTCTACCTAGCACTTCCTAGAACTTCGTGAAGCGTCTGGTATTCCCATTAGGACAGACAGACCGAAACACATTTCTTCACAGCATCCCTACAGGCAGGAGAAAGAAAAAAAAACAACAGTCACCTCAGTTATGCCACTTGATGAGACTCAATCCATGCTGCCTATCACACTGACACTGAGGGCTGTAAAGATCAGCTGGCCATGGGTTAATTGCACAACATAATTTGCATGACTACACAAATGCCTTAGAGACAAGTGGGTCTGCTCACTGTCCACCTGCCCACTCACAGAGGAAAGGACACCTGTAAGGCTGCACTGAGGCACTGAAGGCCTCAGTGGGGCTGATGGGGCAGGAGAGAGAACTGTATGCTCAAACACAACAGTGCTCATGGGGGAGAATGGGAAAAAAAGGTACACAGAAGAATACTCTTGTTTAGTAGCATTTGAACCAACATTTAGGCATTCCAAAGGCAAGCCTTATGGTCAGCATGTGGTCAGCAGATTCACATATTTTTTTACTTGTGTTCTCCCACTAGAGAAGTTACTTAGTTTTATTTTCAGATTTAACTACAGGGATTTCCTACACCAGGGAAAATCTTCTAAAGCCACATATTACAATGCTCCTATAAAGTAATTTTCTGTATGATTAATTAAACGATGAAAATTAAGAGAGTAGGGAAGCTTACCTTGCATATGGTATGAAGGAAATGCTGTACCTAAGAAGAAATATTTTGAAAGTTACTCTTCATGTCAGATTTTATTAGTCACAAACAAGAACAACCCTTCTGATACTCTGAATTAAAAGATACACAATTAAAATGAAGCTTTGAGTTTGTGAGCCACAGGAATAAGTATCCTTGCAAGTCATCTCAGCCCAGCCAGGCTGTGAAACACTATGGCAAAATAGCGGGGCATGTTGTGGAAGCATTTTAAACACAGCTCTCCTGCATTCAATATTCTTCATGCTCCAAGACCTACAGGCAGGCAAGATTAGTCTTGAAGGCTGGCTATGTGTTCATATCAGTTTGTGCACTACTTCAGTGACCTTGCACAGAGCATATGTTAACATGAAGAACACTGACAATTCGATTGGCGTAGCTGGGTCTCCAGACAAATTCAGGAGAGTGTAAAGGAGGAATACCATGTAGTAAGCAACAAATTGATTTAAAAGGGAAAGAAAAAAACAGTTTTACTTCAAGCTCACAGAAACTAAACGTATTCAAAGGAACTTCCTTCAGAAATGGAGCCCTAAGCTCCATCTGCAAAGCCTCTGAAGTGGTGTGAGAGATCAAAAGGTGGGAACAGGTCAGCTCCTCACTGATGCATTGTCTAGAATCTAGGGGAATGACAAGGTAAAAATTTTCCTTCCCTCTAACTCATGCAAGGTCAAAATCCACTCAGCTACTAATGTTAGGTGCACAGAAAGTGGAGCACGTGGGGAGGAAATCACTTACCATGCCATGGCAAAGAACTGTAAGATGCAGAAAAGAAGCGCGAGTCCTGCCTTGCGCCACTGAAGGAAGAGAGAGGGAGGGAGGAGGGGAGAAACATAGCAGAGACAACAGTGTAAGAATCTTATTTTCAAAATATACTCCAGTTATATTAACTCCATATATGTATATATATACATATAGGACTCAGGTACTCACCCAGAAAGCAGAACATAGTGTTAGTACGAGGCACAACTAGAAGAAAACAAACAATTTCTGTTAAACATAGAAACAACTCCAGTTTTTATAGATACTGTAACACTGTAACAGGTTCCTTCACAGGACAGGAAGGGATTACATAGTTTCATAGTTTTATCCAATCCTTGTATTTAAAATGATCTTGCTATTTCTTTTCTGAAGCGAATTAAAGCAATTACAAAATATCACCTGGTATCTCCAGAAAATAATTTTGTGGTTGCAAAGGAGCATCAGTGGGTCTCAACTTCATCCCACACACTTCTTGGTGTCATAGGCACACACCACACTTCATCATTTTGCATGAGTAAGACTAGAGTTGTACAAGAGTCTTTCTGCCTCTGCACATGCCACATTTCCTGATGATTACATGGTTACCATGGGGTTAAAGTTGAGTCATTACTTAATGTTTACCAACTAAACCTATAATACACTTTCAAGAACTTTGGGCTATTGCTTAGTAGCTCACCTGTTTATATATATGAAGTCCAGTACATTCATTCAAACCAGTGCTTTTTCTTTTTCCAGAGTTGCACTGTGTCTTTCTTTACTACAGTTAAAATCTTGGGGGGGGGGGGGCATTAGGCCACTTTGGATTATTTTCTGCTTTAACTCTCAGTTTAAACGGAAGCCTCCTATTAGTTAAAGTTTTTGTTTTCAATTTAAGACACAACAGCTCATTTAGCTATGGCAGATGCTGATAATTCATCTTCCTTCATCAATATGTAGCAGGCTTAGATACATGTGTACCACTGTGGTACTAGATATTATAAAGTGCATTTTTCTGCTTGAGTGGGAAAAACAAAGATATAGTACTGCATATTCAAGACAGTAACACATGCATTTTTAAAGAAATCATACACTTCACCTCAACCATGATAACTGACTTCAAATGTAATTTTTCCATTAGTTTTAAGGTGGTGATTTGTATATTGGTCTAAATACTGCATCATACATCTAACAACTGGCTTTATTCCAGTGAACAACATTCCAGGCATTCTCCTGACTTCAGGCATCCCGAATGCATACAAAACACATACACCACACAGTAAGCTTCTTGCTTGGATCTGCAAGCATGCACAATTTCTCAAGCTCTGCACCATTTCAGGATGTTTAAAGAGAAATTAGGAAGTGCTGATGCCAAGCAAACACTCTGAAGACATTCAGACTGAAAACGAGAGGACAGTCTCATGCAAGTTATACCACCTTCCAGATTTTAGACTCACCAAGAGAAAATGGGAAAGTTGCAGAGACAAAAAAACATTCACTTTTAGGTATGGAACTTAGTAGCAACTTCCAGGCATAGACACACACACAGTAGGTTTGGTACAATTTCCATCTTCTGAAAATAAAAATAATTCTAAGGGCTGACTTCAGCTAAACACTGAATTTGCAATTTCATTCTGTCATACAAGTTTCAAAACCTGAAGTTATCAGCCAGCTGGGATGATGCCTGCATTTTTAATGCAAGGTGACCACGGCATAGAGTTCCCTCAGTTGCTTTGTCAGCAATAGATGATTCTATCAAGGTAGAAACACCTACGTGGTTCTTTAAAGCAAATCAGATAGAATATAAAAAGACAAAATAATGAAAAACAAAATATCTAACTACGTCCGCAGGACTAGTTTGCCATCTTTCACTTTTTAGGAAATGCGTAAATATGATGTTGTGACTTCAAGCACCCTAAAAAAGCACAGGCATGGTACACACACACCAGCCACAGACCCTTAATGCCCATTTAGCACAACAATCTGGCTTCATCTCAGTCTTTTCAGTGGTTTTCTGGTGCTACACTCACCATTCCACTACAGCCAATTTGCAGGGTGTTTGATGCTTTAAGAAAAGAAAAAAAAAATAAAAGAAAACACCACCCACAAACACATCCTGAGAGACAGTTATATCAATGAAAAAACTTTAAAATGAAAATTTTTCACAAGTTTTCATGAGTTAAAACTGACTCCTTTGATACTTACTAGCATAACAGTAGTAGCAATCAAACGTGTAGGCTCAAACATCCTTTTTAATTGTTTCATTGGTCCCATCAGAAAAAGAGTGCTGTGAAAAATAAACCAGGATGAACACAGAGGTAAGAAAGGCAAAAGTGAAACTAGGTAAGAATAAACTGTCTGTTGTCATGCAGAACATAATTACACTATGGAATATACAAGACAAAATCCATTCCTGTTTTTTTTTCTGCAGAGTATTTCAAATTTTATTCACACTTGTTCAGTTAAAATCAACATAAGCAGAGCAGAACTGTCAAGTTAGTAGCATAGGTCAAGGTCAGCTCCAGTTAGATCATTCTTGACAGATGCTTTTTTCAACCCGCTTTTCAAAAATGCTTTTTAAATCTGCTTTTCAAGAATTCCATCCACAGAGGTTCTGCATGGATTGCCAGGTAATCCAGCTCAATTCCCCTATATAAAGGACTGTTTTCAGGCCTGGATCCATTCTGTGATCCCTTACTAGAACTGCAGCCCTCATTTAGGGCCCTGGTGATGGATACTGCATGAATTATACAACGTGAAAGTTTTATCTAAAGTGATACTCCTGTCTCATATACTATGTTATTCTGCCTCATCAGTATATTATTTCCAATTCCATTATTTACACTTTCTAACATCATGCTAAGTTTCCTCAATCACAGAAGGTTGTGTCTGTCACAAATCTGTGGGCCTATGTTTCAGGAACCTTGAAGTCCTAACAAATATGCCTGCCCTGACAGACAAGACTGCCCCAAATATATTCACCAAAACACACAGAACATTACCAAATGCAAAATGGAGAAGAATTATTTTTAAATTGAGAAGGAGGAACCAACAAAATCCAAAAACCTCAATGCTCTAAGTGTAAGTTTGATTCTTCTTTACTGATGAGTAACTTCTACCTTGAATGCATTACTAATAACAATAAATAAAACTAAAATTTCCTTTACCGTTTCAGGGCACCACTGGGAAAATTGTGTTCTTTAAAATTCAACAAGAAAATTACCCACAAAAGCAAATCTCAGGCAAATGCAACAGCTTCTACCACTTATTAACACTTATGCACTATCATTCTGCTTTTGTTTCTCATCTTTATTATGGAACTAAATTATAAAGATTGTTACCTCCCAATAGACGCAATATTCCCCAGAGTATAAAACACTGCAAAGAGAATCAGCCCTTTCTTTGGTATCCATAGCAGACAACTACCCTAAAAAGGAACATTAGAGAGACGGGGGGTGGAAATTAATAGCTTTGAAATTGAAAAAGAAATATATCCCAGAAATATCACATCACAAAAGAAACTTAAAAAAAACCCAACCTTAAACCTAAATGGTAGAATCACACATACAAAAGTAAATCGCATTTATTAGCATTTTTGTTAAGACTTAGTGTATCTAACTGGAACCGAGTCAGACGTCTCCTCAGTGACTCAGAAAAATCAAGCAACGGCACAGAGCAAGGCTGCAATCACCTGGGCTCCTGGAACTCAAATACTGGAGAGATCTGGCAAAAAGTCCTTACCAAGATCGAGCACAGGCATCCTATAGCAAAACACGCAACGAAGCCTTTCACGCGGGTGCCCCAACCTAAAGAAGTTGAATCAATAACCTGGAAACGAGGAGAAAAATAAAAGCGAAACTTATTTACTAGTAGACCTCGCCTCCTATCAAGTGTGCAAACTTCCTCTCGGACGCTGAGCTGTGTCCTATTCCGGCACCCTCTCCCGCGGCCCGCGGGAGGCGCGGGGGATGCGGCGGGACCGCCACCCGCGCTGGGGACCCGGGGGGGCCCCGCAGGGCTGAGGGGGCGGGGGGGGTGGGGGACCGCCCGTCCTCCCGCCCACGCCGGGATCGCCGGCACCGCCGGCACCGGCAACTTTTCCGCTGGGGCTGTTCCGCCAGCTCTCCAAACAAACCGGGGAGGGGTTGTTTGGGTGCCCCCGCAGCCCCCCGGCGGTACCTCGGCCAGGCCGCTCGGCTCCTCCGCGTCGCGGCCGCTCAGCACCCGCTTCAGCTTGTCCATGGCTCCGCTCCCCGCCCGGCCAGCCCGGCTGCCCTTCCCTTCCCCTCCCCAGGGACTACCAGCTCCGGCAGGCACCGCGCCCACCTGCGCTCCCAGGTACGGGAAGGCCGCCGGGGCGGCGCGCGGGCTGACGGGGGATGTAGTCCGGATGTGGCTGTATCCCATCTCCTCCCATCCCTTTCGCGTCCATTACTCGGCAATAGCAAAGCTCATAGAAACAGACTTCATTTCGCTCCCACGGCTGTGGCTCTTACCCTGGTCTGAAAGAGTCTCCACTTTATTTTCGTAACTAGCCAGAGCGGTCTCCTGCCAAAGGCACGTGGATGCAACATCTTACTAGCAGGCAAAATTCAGCATCACAAGCGGTTATTTCAGTTTATTTTGCTCAGTTAAAAACAAAACTATAAAACATTTGGTACATTTTAGTTCGCAACATACAAGAAACAATATAAACTGCCACATTAGACTCGCCACAAAACAGCTGGAGAATCCCCCCCTGCTCCCTCCCCCTAAAAGTGGTACCCTCCAAAGTGGTACTTTTCTGTGGAAATTTTGTGCCAGCAGGCTCACGGTACACCAGCTTATGCCGCTGCTTCTTGGTAATCTGTGTGGCATAAGAAAGTCACAAAGTGCTCCAATTTTGAACTTGTAGTAACTGTAACTTCCTAAACATGTTCCTGTAATTTCCCCAATACGTGTGGTTCCACTTAAATGCACCCAAAATAGATGGATATCACATATCTACATAGTCAGGATACAAACCCATTCAATAAAACTGTATCAAAACGTCACAGATTAGAGTGTATGATGGACAAGATAAAATACACAGTATAAGCTAAACATGCAGAGTGCCCTTTTCAGTGCTTGCTGTCCGCTCTGTGGGTTTTCCCCCCAACACGTTTTAGCCCAACGGAGCTTACATTAGCATCACTGACCAAACCTGAATCACAGTTTTAATTAATTAATGCAGATATAGTTTCCTTCATGCTAGCACTACATGAGCTCTGCTCTCAGTCATTACCAGCTTTAAAGTGTGTTTTTATAAGCTTTAAGGCATGTAAAATAATATATGCTTAGAGTAAAAGAAGTGCCATGATTTACTTCTACTAGAAAAATACCTCTTCACCCCCATTTGCTGTTCCCTTCCTTTTCACTCTCTCCCCGTACTCCTCTATCACTGGAGCGGACCCAAATCATCTTCTATTAGCAAATGAATTTTAATCACTTCCATGCTGCATTTATTTGCAGCCCCCTTCTTTACCCTGACATCAGAATCTTTAGGAAACAATGCTGGAAGATGAAAAAACGCCAACAGAATATAGGACTGTAATAGGGAATATAGAGGATCTCACCTCTATTTCAAAGTGGCCATAAATTCAGTCACACAGACCATGTCTGGATGACAATTTCTTTCAGAGACTGTTTAATTTCAGTTTTCTTCACTCATTTTATCCTATGGATCATAAGATATTTTGCAGTAATCCTTTCCAAAGGATTCCAAAGATAAGGCTGAAGGTGTATTCAGAAAAAAAAATAAATTCTAATCGATAACTTTTTACAAACTAATCCCCACAGACTCTCTGTGAGGTAGGCATATATTAACTCTCATTTTTACATACAGGGAACGGAGGCACAGAGAAGTGTCTTCCCCGTAGTTGGAGTAAATCAGTGACACAGGACACCAAGAAAACAGTCCCTTACATGGCAGTAGACTGGGGTTTCTTTCCTAAAAACCTCAGGGTCTTCTCTACATGAAAACCATTTCTCTGAAGATCTGCTTAAATACCAGGTTTTGAGGTGAGTTGTTTCCATTAAGTCATGCAGTGTAAAATACGAACATTTTTAAACTAAACCCCCAAGACATCAGAATGCATACTCATCTGTAATCACCTTAAACCACAGCCTGCTTTTCACTGCAGTGACTTGCTTCTTGCACTGAGAGTCAGCAGTACACTGAGACAAGCCTGCTCAGCTGCCCCATTCTTAGGCCAAACCATTAACAGACTGTAGGATTTCCAAAAGCAACACAAATATTTAAGTTTAATCTACAAAGTGTTAAAACCATACTATACAAGTGATCACAATGCTATTAATATTAAAACTTAAAGAATTTTATAATAAACCAAAATTACGTATCTGGAACACATTAGCATCCTTTTAAGGCCATACAGGATCTCATTTGTCAAACTCCAAATACAGCATCCTTTAGGGATTACAGATTAAACACCCCTGTCTTCCGCAGCCTCAACCCACGCTGCAATTTGGCAATTTGACTTTCAGGGCAGTATAACCATCACATGTAGGCACCATTCAGTGCATCCAACAAATGGTCAGTGCAGAACAATGCATGTCCAATATTGTATGTGACTGGAGCAGCATCCAGACCCCAACTGAGAGTCTCCAGAACTGTCTAGAGAAATCTGTCTGACATCAGAATTAACTGCTTTACAAAGAAAGTCATTTTACCTTTATATAGTGTCAAACAAATCCATTTTTTCCCCCCATCCCTAAACCTATCCTCAGATGAAATGCATATTCTTAGGTGAGACTCTGGATCAGAGAGTAACAGTTGGTTATCAGCTCACAGTAGGGGAAGCCAAGCAAAATGTGTAGTTTAGGACTGTCAGATCAAAATAAATGCAGATGAGTTTTTTTCTTTTTCTTTTTACTGTGGATGATTTCTCAATAAAAATAAATCATGCCAACTTTACAATGCCAGTAATCTCTTAATATCTGAAGCAGCAATAACAAAATCTTCATAAAAGTGTTAGTGGTGGAGGGTCCAGAAAATACTCCTGCCTACTTGGTGAACTAAACAGAACCCAGACTCTTAATAGTCATTTCTCCAGTGCCATTGAAAATTATCACTCACCACCAGCTTATCATCAATTCCAGATACAGGTTAAAAAAAAACAACCAAAAAACACCATTAGCAAAACCTGCTTGAAATGTTTTCTCTTAAGGCTACAGAAAAATTAGCCAAATTCTTCATTCCACTATTAGTGAAATACCCCCCATGGCAACGAATACGTGATCACATCATCTCCAGTCTACTTCAAGTCCATATAAAGTCACATTTATTTATTAGACTTAACACACATGGTTTCCAGTGATTCTTCTGGTTTAGGCTCCAGCTTCTCTGGGAATTCTAATTTTTCACAGATTGTCTCCTTTATGGGTAGATACTGAGAGATCTCGTTAGGTTCTGTGAACAGGGAAGGTGGAACGTGCTAAAAAGCAAAAATTTTATATGAAACAAGTGAATGAAAGGAAGGGGGAAAAAAAGTACTCCAAACTTTTACAGACAATTAATCTATAATTTACCTGAAGTCAGGTATGATTATTAAAATTTATCTTATAACTTCAAATGGACATACAGTCTTACTCCTTATGTGAATCAATAAACCAGGGAAAGGGATTTAACATTTTTAAGCAAATTATAAGAGCACAAGAAAGTCAGAGACATCCATAAACAGCTACAATGTTTTTTAAAAATATACTTAAAATGGGAATGTAACAAAGTCTTTTTAAGATTCTAATTCTAGATGAGACTAGGATGGCCACAAGGGATTCCATGTCTTCTAGCCATTGCGATATATTCCCTGGAGTTGCTTGTATTTAGCTATTGATAATTGATCAATCTTAACATGTATCTTAGTTTTATGACGTTCACCACAGACATGTATATAAAATACTAAAACTCACTGGATTTTAATTTCATATTTTAACAAACAAGGTGGTTTCATTAAGTGAATCAGTATCTTTCTCTGGAGATCTCTGGAGATCACCATATACAAGACATGTGATGGAAAAAAATAATGCTATACTGAACAAATAATCTTCAAACTTTCTAACAACATTCTTTAAGAAGTGCACCCAGAGCTATTCAAATGCAACCTGCCCTTTGGCTACCCTTGCCATGCAAGGAGCCATGCCACTGTTTTAATTATTTCAAATCTCAGTGAAGCAGGAATCTTTTCTGCTTTACCTATGCAAGCTAATCCAGGGAACTGAAAAGCCACATGCATTTCCTCTCTATAACAACAAGCAGGAAAAATTACTTAACAGCACAGATGATAATTTTTAAACATGGGATGAAATAAAACCTAGATCACTGATTAATATTTCAAAAATTACAAAACTATTCAAAAAGCTCGTGTCTGGATTTAGTCCTCTTTATAGGGGTCACGTATTGTTAAGAAATGATGCAGTGCCCCTTTCCTCACAAGACAAAAAACATTTTGTAAAAATATTCCCTTTGGAAGGTTAGCATTAGTCATTTTTCCAAGTGAAAGAAAAATAAGGGAGAAGGAAAGTTACAAGAATATGAAAAATCAGGTGCTGGGTCAAGAATAAAAATCAACAGCTGCAACTCCAAATGTGCCACAAATTATGCTGAACCATTCCTAGAGTTTGAAGGTCATGTATTAAACTTATTTGAGAAAAAGTGGATGAGTCTATTACCAAACAGATTTTAATCTCTAACACTACCTGCAAGCATACAACCAGGCCTGAAATTGAGCATCAGGGGACATAGAATACCTGATTTTATACCTGAAGAGTTCTATGAAAAAATAATTAATAAAAAATCTTGGCAACTCACAAGCAGAAAAAGTAACCCAATCCCATCTCTTGCCATGTGATCTGAGCATTTACAAATGCAAATCCTGTTTGTTTGCAAATGCAAATCACTAAAACAAAGGCTGCATAAGTAGAAAGATTTTTCCTCTCTATCAGTTCCAAACCTAACAAAGAATGACTTACAGACACAGTATTTTCTGTGCTGACTGTAAAACAAAAAAGCAGACAGAAAGAAAAAAGAAAGTAGGTTTAAAAAATGCAATACCTTTAAACTTGATATTTTGCTTTCTCTGGATGTGTATTCTCGCAACATGTAGGTCTTGTCAGCCTAATGGAAAAAAATTATCATCTGGTATCAGTGCAAGCCAAGCATTTTAAATACATTGAATTCAGTATACATCTGAATTTGGTTGACCACAGATTTTCATCTGGGAGCAGAAATGTATGTTCAAATTCACAAAGACAGAGAAAGTTGATAGCAATGTTCTCTTTTCTAAAAATCACCTTTCTGTGTGCATGCCTAAGAAAAAATGCTAGGACTGAATACACTTGTTAATCTTTACTCACCTTGAACTACTTCATCAGTACAAATAGTTAGACAGAATAATCAAACCAGTTAAATCTTAACATTCTGTATTATTTATGAGATATCAGAACTCAAAGGAATATGGACAGTTATTTGCAAGTTAACACTTGCAGTCTAACTTAGACAAGCCAAAAATAATTTACTTGGAGAACAGTATCAAACTATTTACTGTTGCCTATTTTTCCTCTTGTACTTCCTTCTCTAATCTGTGTCTGTCACATGTATTTAAGTGATTACTTCACATGAGAAATAGCCTACTCTGCTCGTGTAACACCTCCCTCCACAGCACCCACACTTGGTTGCTAGTTCAGCACCACCACAATTCTAAAAGACAAATGAAAGTTCAGTTCAGGTAACTTCCGTGCCCCCAAACATCAGTATTAAATTAGAGGAATATCAGCAGGTCTATAAAAGTAACACGGCAAGGGAACCTCTGTAAAATAGCCATGATGGAAAATAAGGGTTTACCTCATGATGAAGCCTCGTATCATTCATCCTGATAAGTACCCCATCAACTCGCAAGAAAAACCTCAACAGCACAAAAAAGCTGGAAGGCATAACTCTCTGCAAAAATAAAGATGTTCCATTCAGCATATTACAAAGGTACACTTTAGGTATGCAATTATCTGCATCAGATATTCACTATGAAAGATAGTATGAAGAGCTTTCAGTAGTAAAGCCAAAATCTGGGCTGTTGATTTGCTACAACCATGGCTGAACAATAGGGCAGACAGTGCCTCAAAAGATTCTTAGGCAGGATGCAGAAAGAGGGAAAGGATTGCTCCCTGAAGCAAGTGACAGATGATAGAAAGATTTCAAAACAACATATTTTCCAGTAAGATTGTATTTCTAAGAGCAAGGATAAAGAAGTTTGTGTTCTAAAGTTTAAATCCCAGAAGGAAGAACATGCAAAAAGTGACTGCATTTTGCATTTATTAGCCAATGAGTCACCAAGCATCTTGTGTAAGCCTCTAAATACTCACTACTTTTACACTCAAACTTGATACTCCATGATCATGAAGCTCGTCTTCAAACAGAAGTACTTCTTCAAAAAACATAATTTGTTCCCTGGCTTTCAATTTCTCTGTATTTATGTGTTCTGTTGTAGGAACAACCTAAAGAAAAAGGTTAAGAACAGTTAGCACATTAATTTGTTGCCAAACCACAAAAAGTTTGTCCTGATCTTTTGAATTCCACAGTTTTAGAAAAGAAAAAGCTTTTAGAGCTCAAACCTTAAAACATCCCAGATTTCTAGGAGAAGAAGTTAAAATTAAAACCAAAGTTTCCAAGAGTTTCCTCTTGGAAACAAACATCAAGCAACAGCTAAGAGTGGAAAATTCTTAATAAACTTCCCTCTGGATACGGGCTCAGTAGGTTTTTAGCAGCAAACAATTCTGTTCACTTTCTTTCAAATGTTTTTTCCAAAACATTTGAAGATGCCTCATGTTTACCATGCAAATGAGAAGTTCGGGTTTATAAACAGGATTCCACACGTTCAATGTCTCTTCTCACTACAGACCCTGAAAAGGCTTCTAATAAAGCCTTTCTGTGAAAATCAAGTACCTATATGTTTTCCACCACATGGTGGAAAGACCTAATACACCTCATGGTGGATAGACCCTAATACACTTCTGGTGCCTTAAGACTACAGGCCAACAACACATGGTTTGTTTCTATGCTGCATTTTTAATTCCAGAATAACTCATATGATCTCTAACTAAAGCATTCTAGTGACTTAATATAGATTTTCTACTTAGTAGCAAGAAATCTGTATACAGTAAAGAAAAACTGGGAACTTTAGTCTTATTCTCAAGATATGGGAGGGCTTGTGCGTTTAAATAAGATGAGTTACTGCTGCAATAACATAAAATCACTGAAAGCAGCAAGATCTACATATCTGCTTAGACAAACAGGCAAGTAACAGAGCACAAAGGTAATACAGAATTACATAGTTGATAGTTCTGCAGTGTGTGAGCAGCTCAGAGCTTCAGAGGTTCAGCAAGTGCTGAACATTCCCACATGCTTTAATCCTAAAATGCCTTAAGACACCACCCACCCTCCCCCCACCCCTCCCGTTATTAAAATAAGCCATGATTTCATTAGGATAACATGCTGAGAGACAGGATAAGCCCAAACTATACTTTGCAGTCAGAAATTATGAAGCATGCTTTAGATTTTACAGAAGCCTACTGAAACGTAAATGACAGCTTTAAAAGTGTTTGACTGAAGCAATATGTGGTCAGCATTTAACGTGGAGAAAATCTTAACCTTTAATGTTGCAGTATCTCCCAGCAACGTCCCTTTGTAGTCTGTTGTGTAAGTCCAGTCATACGGCTTGACAACTTCCTTAGTGTGCTCAGTCTCACTCCTCAAAAAGCGAAAGAGAAAACAGGTTTGTAGTAATTGCTTTGTAGTAATCTTCAAAAAATTACAATCCCCCATACGACTGTGCACTATGGTTCCCACATTATTCTCCAACAAAAACAGAAGATTTGTGCTGCAATGACGATGTTAAGACTTAATCATAGTTTCACAACATCTGTTTCCGTAATAACTTAGAAAACCATTACGAGAATTCCTGTGCTAACACTATCTCAGTTCTACGAGTCAAAATAAAGATTTCATGCAATATTGCTGAAAAATTTGTATTTCAAGATCATTTTTTCTTTAAGTAGGCAGAAAGTGATGTGCTGATGACACACAGCAACCATTGACACTGCAATGTACCTTAGTTTTCATGACAACTTTGCTTTCTCTCTGTGTTTTATTTCCAGGTGCTCTAAAACTAATTGGGTAAATACCAAGCATTACAACTAGTTCTCATGCATGGTAATTGTTCTGCTTTATTCCTAAGGCTAAGATTTTAAACATGTACAGCACTTTGAAATACCACACAATCTTGTAATGCTCGAGGCCCTGTGAGTTTGAATAAACAGGAACAGCACTGAGCCATGTTAAACTTGAAGTTTATTTTAAGAAAGCCAAGACACAACTGAAAATACAGCAGACCCAATTTAACAGATAGGATGATCACAGCAAAGAAAAGCTAAGTGACTTCTGTGATCACAAGCTGTATCTAGGGCAGAACCAAATGCAACATGGTCTTCAAGAGTTTGGTCTGTTCTTTTAACTACTTTATGACAGTTTCACATACAACGCACCAGTACTTGCCCACTGGTGATAAAATACTGTACCTGCTCTCTTGCCACTCCTCTGCACAAGCGACTTTGATCATACCTTGACAATTATTGACACATTTTAAAGCATCTGTAGCATTGAACTCAATTCCAAAACCATGATCATGCTGTATTCTTAGGATATTGTCTCCAAACATCATTTCTGGCAGGGAAGGCATGTGTAATTCATCGGCCAATCTGCAGAGAAAAATGAAAGACACATCAGTCAGCTATAGTTCAGTAAAAGCAGTCCCTGTTCTGGAATAAGTATTCTTTAGACCATAATAATTTAGAAGGCATATCATTGATGTGTTCTGCAAGACTTTGTATTTTCCCAGGTTAATCATTTGACCTGAAATGCAGAATCATTGAATCAAAGTGACTTTTTCACCACAAAAGTATTCCAAAACATTCCTTCTCCATCAGGTTCGTACAAAAGTCTCAAACATGAGGAATCAAAAAATATCTGAGAAGCATGGAGAAGGAGTTTTTAACCTCTTCTAGCAAATTCCTGGGTGGTCCACGAACTACTCTGGCAGGTGCTCAAAAAGAACTTCTAGGAACAAGCACTCATCCTCAGCAACTTTGAACTCACTAGGCACAGTGGTCCATACCTCCAAATTTAGAAGCCTACAAAAAAGACACTTAAAAGAACCCTCGCATAGTATCTGAAAAGCACAGAAGACACTACTGTGATATACCACTTTTCCAAGCTGGTAGAAGACTGGTACTGGTATTTATAACTTCAAGCAGAAAAGCCACAACCAGAGCCACAGATCCAACTGAACAAGGTACTGCATGAACCAAGTAAGCATGATCCCTGCAGAAAATCTCAAACCATCCTATTTCACGTTCTGTTTTGCATCAATCTATATACTTATTTGTACTTACGTACATATAAACATATGCTATATATAAATACACACACACCCCACCACCTGATATACACTCTGACCCTTAATTACTAAAAGGCTTCACATACTTCTTTTTCTCCCTACCACTACCTACTTTACCTCTCAAGATCAAAAAGGAATACATGACATCTGGGGAGAAGAAAACTTTAGGAAAATACATTAATTTGAAGGACGGAAGGACAAAAAGTGTCGTAATCACAATGTTCACATTGATAACAAGGCATTCCTGAACAGAAGTGGTTATTTCGGTAACCCTACATAAAAAAAGAACAACATGCTAACCTTACTAAATTACAAAAAGCAAATTCATAGACCTGGAGAATAAGATCCTACATTTTTCCCAGAGAAGGCAGAATAACATTATGAACTTTTCCATTTCATCAAGTGTAGGTCCCTTGACCTGCAAAGACCAACTCTAGCACAAAAAGGAGTTCTTGGCTATGGCACATTTAATTCTTCACTTTTCCACACAGGCTGCTGAGGGATTTTTGCGATACATATCTGCCAGAAATAAAACTCCTACAGATACTAATGATGTTCCCTGAGCAATAAAAAAAGGCAAAATGCCAAGAGAAATAAATTATAAAAGGAAGCTGACTAAAAGCACTGCAACAAGATGGTTTCTGACTTTTCAAATTTGAAGTGGGATGAATTGTTTTGCAGATCTCATGCTAGGTACCGAGATCTACAGGTAAATGGCTATTTTTGGACTTCCCTACCCTGCAGAATCCTCTGTGTTCTTTCAAGCCTGTGTTATGCCTCTTGCTGCTTTACTTTTCAGTCTTTTTCAACACGTTCTGAAAAACTGTGCGTTCCTCAAAAACATCTAAACAGACAAAAGTAATTTCTGAAAATTACAGAGGTGACTAATTTAAAATAGGTACAGTTAAAGAAACTGAATAGATCAGAAAATAAGTAGAGCAGGCAATTTGGCTCTTAGACTGGCAGCTTAAGTCTCTCACTTGTTCACAAATAATGAAGAGAATTAACATCCTCCCAATCTTAACAAAAAAGATCTATATTTTTAAGAGGTAGCATCCTACAAAATAAGTCTTCAAATATGGCACAAAAATGAAATGCTCTAAGAACAGCCCTCCTTCCCCCACAGGACACAGGTACAGCTTACGTGGATGTTGAAGCCTCATTACAGAAAAACTACTAAATCACAGGATTCAAGTTTTCTTACCTGTAACTGTAAAAACCAAAGGATCATTAGTCAGAAGCAGTTTGAGATTATTTTAGGCATAAGATAAAGATGGAAAAAGGAACATAGGTTTTACCTGTTTTAAGGCAGATGCCCAGTTTTAAAAAAGTATTATGTTGTTATGTTTAAAAATTAACATTTACATAGTTTACTATAATGCTAATTAAAAAACAAGCGTAGCATTTCCAGACACGAGACTTTATCAAACAAATTAGAATCATGGAATTGTTTAGGTTGAACACGACCAACCGTTAGCCCAGCACTGCCAAGTCCACCAGGAAACCATGTCCCTGAGTGCCATGTCTACACATCTTTTAAACACCTCCGGGGATGGTGACTCAACCACTTCCCTGGGAAGCAGGTTCCAATGCCTGACAACACCTTCTGTGAAGAAATTTTTCCTAATATCCAATCTAAACCTCCCTTGGTGCAACCTGAGGCTGTTTCTTCTTGTTCTACTATTTGTTACAACCTCCTTTCAGATAGTTGTAGAAAGTGATAAGGTCACTCCTGAACCTCCTTTTCTCCAGGCTAAACAACCCCAGCTCCCTCAGCCACTCCTCACAGGACTTCTGCTCCAAACCCTTCCTAAGCTCCATTGTCCTTCTCTGGACACGCTCCAGCACCTCAATGTCCTTCTCGTAGCGAGGGGCCCAGAAGTGGACACAGCACTCGAAGTCCAGCCTCACCAGCGCTGAGTACAGAGGGACAATCACTTCCCTGGTCCTGCTGGACACAGTATTTTTGATCCAAGCCAGGACACCATTGCCTTCTTGGCCACACACTGCTGGCTCATGTTCAGCTGCTGTCGACCAGCACCCCCAGGGCCTTTTCTGCTGAGCTGCTTTCCAGCCACTCTTCCCCAAGCCTGTAGTGATGCCTGGGGTTGTTGAGACCCAAGTGAAGGACCCAGCACTTCGACTTGTTGAACCTCTCACAATTGGCCTCAGCCCATTGATCCAGTCTGTCCAGACCCCTCTGAAGGCCTTCCTACCCTTCAGCAGATCAACACTCCCATCTGTGAACTTACTGAGGGTGCACTTGATCATCTCATCCCGGACTGTCGATAGATATTAAACAGGACAGGCCCAAATACTGAGCCCTGGGGGACATCACTTGTGACCGGCCACCCACTGGATGTAACTCCATTTACCACCATTCCTGTGCCCGGCCATCCAGCCAGTGTTTCACCCAGAAAACAGTGCACCCATCCAAGCCAAGGGCAGCCAGTTTCTCCTGGAGAAGGCCTTATTAATCTCAGGAAAGGGAAAAGCAAGATGAATGAGCATACATTTAACGTGACTAACAAGAAATTGTATCCCACTATTCCAGAAACTGAAAACAAGAAGTATCTGATGAATTTAGCTGCCACTGTGGTCAGTTATGGCACAGCTGAACTGTTCAGCTCCACATTAGCAAATCTGACTTAAGTGCTTGATGCTGACACAGGAACACTTTCTCCAATGGTTTGACAGGAGTGGAAATTACTACAAGAAGAAAGCAAATTATAAATTTTTAATGAAAACCACTACCTTAATATAGCTATTACGAAGACATGCTACTGGAGCAGAGAGTCCACGGGCCACATTTAAAGGGCCCTTAATCACCATTATAAAGTAATTAAGAAAATCAGGCTTCTAATTAGCAGGCATCAATTCACAGAGGTCCAGATCTCCAAAACCACTAGAATCATAGAATGGTTTGGAATGGAATGGACTTTAAAGATCATCGAGTTCCAACCCCCTTGCCACAGGCAGGGACATCTCCCACTGGACCAGATTGCTCAGAGCTCCATCCAGCTTGGCCTTCAACACTGTCAGGGATGAGGCATCCACAACTTCTCTGGGCAACCTATTCCAGTGTCTGGCCATCCTCACAGTAAAGAACTTCTTCCTAATATCTAATCTAAACCTGTTCTCTTTCAGTTTGAATCTCTACCCCCTTGTCCTGTCACTACATGCTCTTGTAAAAATCCTCTCTCTTTCTTGTAGGCTCCCTTCAGCAATCATTAAAACCAAATTTTGGAAATCACCTGTAACCCAAATCACCCTAGTTTCTCCAGCCAAAGAATCAAGCTTCCCATCTCGAAAAAAGAGGGAAGAGCTCCCCCTCCCCCCTAGTAACTGGACTGAGAAGCATCTCCCCCGCCCTGGGAAGGGTCTGTGCTTCCAGCGCAAGGCGCCCAGGCGCCCCAAAGCCCTCGCCGTGAGGGGCTGAGGCGGCAGCCCCGCGGGGTCCCCGAGCAGCGGGGACGCTGTGCTGTGCTGTGCTGTGCTGTGCTATGCTATGCTGTGCCGTGCTGTGCTATGCTGTGCTGTGCTGCGCTGTGCCGTGCTGTGCTATGCTATGCTGTGCCGTGCTGTGCTGCGCTATGCTATGCTGTGCCATGCTGTGCTATGCTGTGCTGTGCTGTGCTGTGCCGTGCTGTGCCGTGCTGTGCTATGCTATGCCGTGCTGTGCTATGCTATGCTGTGCTGCGCTGTGCCGTGCTGTGCTATGCTATGCTGTGCCGTGCTGTGCTGCGCTATGCTATGCTGTGCCATGCTGTGCTATGCTGTGCTGTGCTGTGCCGTGCCGTGCTGTGCTATGCTATGCCGTGCTGTGCTATGCTATGCTGTGCCGTGCTGTGCTATGCTGCGCCGTGCTGTGCTATGCTGTGCCGTGCTGTGCCGTGCTGTGCTGCGCTATGCTGTGCTGTGCTATGCTGTGCTGTGCTGCGCTATGCTGTGCTATGCTGTGCTGTGCCGTGCTGTGCTATGCTATGCTGTGCTATGCTGTGCTGTGCTGTGCTGTGCCGTGCCATGCCGTGCTGTGCCGCCCCCCCCGGCCCGAGCCCGCCCCACCTCTCGGCCTGCGCCGACTTCATGATGTGCGTGCGGGCGGCGCTCAGCTTCCACGGCCCGAAGGTGAAGTCGCGCCGGCTGCTCTGGAAAACCGGGTGCATGGCGGACTCCTCTCCGCCGAGGAGAAGGCAAAAGGAGCCAGAACGGGCGGCAGAGGCGGCGGAGCTCCTCTCCTCCCCACACCGCACAGCGCTCACGGCAGCGACCGCAACGCCGGAACAGCCGCCTCACAGCGCTTCCGCTTCCAGGGGCGCCGGCAGCGCGGAGCCCGGGCGCGGAATCCTGGGATGTATTAGGAAGAGCTTTGCTAGCAGGCAGAGGGAGGTGTTCCAGTACCTCTGCTCAGCCCTAGTGAAGCCACATCTGAAGTGCTGTGTCCAGCTCTGGGCTCCTCAGAACAAGAGGGACATCGAGATCCTGGAGCCGGTCCAGAGGAGGGTGACAAAGATGATTAAGGGACTGGAGCATCTCTCTTACGAGGAAAGGCTGACGGAGCTGGGTCTGTTTAGCCTCGAGAAGAGATGGCTGAGAAGGGACCTCATTAATGTGTATAAATATCTAATTCTAAGAGGATGGAGCCAGGCTCTCGGTGGTGCCAAGCAATAGGACAAGAGGCAACAGGCAGAAACTGATGCACAGGAAATTTCACTTGAATATGAAGAAGAACTTCTTTACTGTGTGAGTGACCACGTGCTGGAACAAGTTGCCCAGAAAGGTTGTGGAGTCTCCCTCACTGGAGATATTCAAGAACCGTCTGGACACAATCCTGTGCAATTGGAATGACCCTGCTTGAGCAGGGAGTTTGGACCAGGTGACCCACGATGGTCCCTTCCAACCTGATCCATTCTATGAGGTGACGTGTGGGGGGCAGGTGGGAGGTGCTGCCACACATGGAGGGCTCCGTGCTGCTCTGCGCTCCTGGAGCCACCATGGGGAGAGCAGACCTTTCTCTAGTCTCTGCCCACCACAGGAAAAGGGAGCCAGCAAGCTCCCCCATGCCCCCATTCCCGGGGTGCCGGTCTGTGGCAGCTGGTGGAGAACATGTGTGTGCCCCGTGGGTGTTCATGCCTCCAGCCACTTCCCCACGGGTACCTCACCGAGAGCAGCAGGACGGCTGGGTGGGAGCTGGGGAGCTCTAAAGCCTCTGACGGCCCCGGGCCATCTCCCTGCCCATGCTCAAAGGTGCAGCAGACATTACCAGGCTTCATCACACAATGCCCTCTGCTGTGTTGGCAGGTGGAACTTCCTGGGTATCAGTTTCTGCCCGTTGTGGAATCCCCTGTGCTGAGTTGGGTATGGTTCTTAACATCTTGGTTCTTGAATGTTGTCCAAAGATGCTCTTTTAAAAATGTCGAAATGTGATGGCAGCTTAAAAAATCCTGTAGAAAAGCATCAGTAGAACTGATTGAAAATGACACATAAGTTACTACTCCATTGTTAATGGGGAGGTGGTTGTGTTGCTTTTCTGCATCACTGAAAGGGCAGACTTAACTCCCTACGAATTTCCCGTGGCACAGGAGCAAGACACATGGGCCCGCTCCTGCTGCTGGAGCACAGGGGCAAGCTGAGACAACAGCTACGGGAAACTGATGTCCGCATCATGAAAAACTCCCCGGAGCAATCAAAACATAGCACAGCTCGTGTCAGAGCAGTCATCCGCTGCACTCAAAGGCCTTAGTGATGCACAAGCTCGGCATTTAATTATCGTTCACCCTTTATACTGTGTACTTTCATCATCATGGCTAGGCTTCGCGAACGAAGATTTGTGTACTTTATACTGACACCTATATCCGGTGTCTTGCTTCAGGTGGTGTTGGGGGGAAGAACTCCCAAAATCTTCGCTGTGTTACTTTTAATAGCGTTTCGGAGGTCTAGCGATTTGGCTCTGCCCCTCTGCGTCTGCCTAGTACTACGTGCCGAGGCAACTCGCTTCACCTGATCCGTGTAAAATGGATATCCACCCCCCCCACACACACTTTTTACTGGATTTCGGAGGCTCCGCTCGCCCCTCGCGGGCGGCCGCGGGGAACATGGCGGTCGGGGAAGGGGCGCGGCGGGACGAGGCGGCGGGGCGGGACGGCGGGAGGGGCAGGGACGGGCCGGGGCCATGGTGGGGGAGGCTCGGGCCGCGGCGGCTCTGGGGGGTCCCGGGCGCCGTAACCAGGAACGTCCCACTCTGGCGGCGGCGGGCGGTGAGTGCGGAGCCGGGGCGCGGGGCAGAGGCGGCGGGAGCGGCGGCGGGACACGCTCGCCCCCGGGGCGGGGGGGTAGGCGATGGATGCCCAGGGCGGAGGACCCTGTCCCAGCCCTTTGTTCGCTGCCGCAGGGAGCGCGGGGGCAAAATGGCGAAACCGCCCCCCAGCTGGATCCCGCGCGCTTTTTGTGTACCGGCACGCCTGGTCAGGCTGCCCGGGGTTGGGATGGGATGGGATACTGCCCCTGCCCCGGGATGTGATGGGATGCTCTTTGCCCTGCCCAGCCCCAGGCGGGCCATCCCTGCCGAAGGCCGCTTTCACTCCCCGGTGAGCAGCGGGGCCGCGAGGGGACGGGGAGCGCCGGGTGCCCCGGGAGTCGCCAGTGCCGGGAGCGGCCGCGGGCAAAAGCCGCCTTCCCAAAACGCGCAGCGGTCCAAAAGTATTGGACAGGCCCGCAGAGGTGGTGCGGCATGCTTAGAGAGAAACTCGAGAGGAGGCGTTTTTGCAAACAGCCTCAGACAGCTTCGCTAGAGAGGAGCTAAGTTGTGTTTCTACAAAATATTGGCCCAGTAATGTCTTTAATTACGCTCTTAGGAAAGTACAGATAAAAATGGAAAAAAGGCGTCTCTCCAGACTGACACTGCTGCCTAAGGCCACAGCAGCCACGCAGATGGAAGCATTTCTGTGAGTACTCCTGGCTGTCTGGGACCCGTGGTTGGGCATAGCCACAGAATTAGCTGAGATGACTTTCCCTGAGTCCCCAACTTCCAAGAAATTCTAATATCAATGTCATATTGTTTAATGGACTCTTTTACTTTCCTGGTCTGCATATTTGCATTTTTTGGTGGTGGTTTTTTTGGTTGTTTGGCTTGGGTTTTATTTTTCGGTATGCTGTCTTGCAGATGGGTGAAGAATTGAGTGGTGAATGGCAGTTGGAGGCAGTGGGGAATAGGCTAAGGAATTGGGAGAAATAACAAGGTTTCACAAAATGAGGTTTTGAGTCAGTGGGATGGATGCTAAGACTGAGAAGTCAAGGATTAAAGGTTCTTAAGCATTTCTGTAGCATGGACCTTGGTTTAATGCAAGGAAGTGTTTTTCAAACCTCATGTACAGAAAGCCAGTTCCCCCAGTCCTTTGGTATTGGCAGCAAAATACAATCACATCTGTAGCTAAGGTGATTATGAACATGGAGAAGCGATGTTGGGAGAGTACATGCAATGGTTCCCAAGTCTTTGAATGTTACTTAGCAACTGTTAAGAAAGAGTCAGCAGGGTATGATTAGCCAGGCATCCCCAGACCACCAGCAAACGCTCCATAGGCAGAATACAAGGTAACAATTGGGATAAACAGGCAGAATTTTTTTTAAAAGTGACTTTCTTTAAAGTAAGAGAAACAAAGACTGATAGCGATGTTCTTGTTTCTTCACAGGCTAGATGAAGGGACCGAGTAAGATGCACAGCTGGTAAGTATGACCTAGAAACAAGTAATATTCTTAGAAAATTTTAAAGTAAAATGTACTAATTTTCTTTCTTGTTTCCCCCCTTCACTTCTTTTTGTCTTTCAGACAGTTTCTTCCCTGTTCTAGGCTTGATGCTGTCATTGATCTCTTTGGTGTACCCATAGGCAATTTACTGCCCCTTCACTTGCCTGTCTAAAATGATTTCCTGTGTATTACAGGTAAATTTTAACACAGGCAAAAGGGCCTCCAGTCTTTGGAAGGAGTTTGAAGAAATACTGCCTGAGTGTTTCTGAGCGTTGCTCTGCTTTTAAGTGCTCAGCATGTCTTGGCTGCTCCAGCTCTGCATGCTCTGACCATGAGCAGCAATTCCTCCCTCGGCATCGTGAAGGGCCTGAGGAACCTCACCACGCAGGAAGATGGGGCAGTCAGAGTCACTGAGTCCATTGCTATCATCGTCATTGCTATTTTCATCTGTTTGGGCAACCTGGTGATTGTCGTCACCCTGTATCGGAAGTCTTACCTTCTCACGTTGAGCAACAAGTTTGTGTTCAGCCTGACCCTTTCCAACTTTCTGCTCTCTGTACTGGTGCTGCCTTTTGTTGTCACCAGCTCCATCAGGCGAGAATGGATCTTCGGAGTTGTTTGGTGCAATTTCTCAGCCCTGCTCTACATGCTGATCAGCTCAGCCAGCATGCTGACCCTTGGACTCATAGCTATAGACCGGTAAGCCGCTCTTTTTTAATGAATTGTAACAAATTGTCTAGTCATCTCATAGAGGGACTTGTTGGCTGTTCACAGAGTTGAAAAGCAATGCAGAGGGTAACATGTAGTAGTTAAAGTGTCATTTTTTCTTCAGCCCCTTGTGAAATTTTGATCTAGACCATGACAGAGCGATGTCATCAATAATGCAAAATGCAGACGTGCATCTAAAGTTTTTTAGCACTTGATGGTGAATAACACACTACTTGAGAAACATGAAATAACGACTTAAAATTCCAAATTCTACCCTAAACATGCACTCACACACAAGAACAGATTTAATAGTTGCGTGTGTGCCTTCAGCCAAGTTTGACAGTCTTGACTGCAACAATACGTATTTTTACATGTAACTGTTTTTAGAAACCGGGTCCCTGAGCCCGCTTCGATGTTTGAAGAAGAAAGGGCTAGATATCAACATCATTAAAATATGTTCCTTTCTTTGTCCTATGTCTTTTGTGCTTCTGTTGACTACTCCTTTTCCTGCCCACCAGGTACTATGCTGTCCTGTACCCGATGGTTTACCCAATGAAGATAACGGGCAACAGAGCAGTGGTAGCTCTTGTGTACGTGTGGCTGCATTCCCTTATTGGCTGCCTCCCTCCTCTTTTCGGCTGGTCGTCTTTAGAGTTTGACCAGTTCAAGTGGATGTGTGTGGCAGCCTGGCACAAAGAGGCCGGCTACACTGCCTTTTGGCAGATCTGGTGCGCGCTGCTGCCTTTTGTGGTCATGATGATCTGCTATGGATTCATTTTCCGTGTGGCGAGGATTAAGGCCCGCAAAA